TATATATATATATATATATATATATATATATATATATATATATTTGTCTGTAAAACACAATGAACTCTCTGACTATTTCTCCATAATAACACCTTTTTCTTCCCTCTCATCCAGACAATGAACAATGATTAAATCTTCTCCCACAAACATCAGCTTTTCAGTGTTTCTGAAAGCTAATGCTTGTCTTCTAAAACTATTCTTTGTTCAAAGCATCCGATATCCAGTCCTTCTTTCCTTTTGGCAATCAGCAGAAATTGCATACTTAACTGAACTGAAAGCCAAAGTTGTAATGTATGTTCCTTTTGGTAAAAGGTTTGGGAAATTGAGTGCAATTTTACAAAACATCAACATAGATCATCTAATTTTTAATTTTCTCACCCCCACCTAAGAAAAAAAAAAAAAAAAAAGAATAAATTGGCCATCAAGGAAACTATTATACATAATTTTAAACTGTAGAAGAAACTAGTTTCAAGTCTAAAATGGTTTACTACAGAAATATTTATTTTAAAATACTTTATTTCTTTAAAAGTAGTTTAAACATGTTGTGCAGTTTATATGCAACCTGTTAATTACAGTGAAAGCAATGTTTTCCATTCTCAACTCATCTGCTTTGCACAGTTGATATTTTTCAGCACACCTGTTTCAAAACAAATAGGTCACCTCGTCAGCAATCCAAGCTCTGCAGGGGCCTGATAATGACCCCTTCATTTGATGCAGGTGTGTCGGTGCAAAGACACACAAACCCATGTGTGTGCTGACAAAAAAAAAAAAAAAAACTAAAAATTTGACAACCAGTATTCTTGTTCCTTTTGATATTGCTTCATTTTTTTAATGTGCAATACAGCTTAATTATATAATGGCTTTTTTGGCAACAATCTTACTTTGTAATATCTATCAGAAGAGCATTCAGTGTATTTTTAATGCTGTATATTTGCATTTCTTATACAATCTTTGATTCAAGATTAGAGAACATGTCTCCTAAGGATATTTAAAATAGAAGTGCCACTAATTAGACTCGTGAAATGAGCCTCAGGTCTGAGAAAAAAAAAAAAAAAAAAACTGTAGGAGAGGATGTATTTTATACCAAACATAGAATTTGATGCTATGCAGTTAAACCTTGATAAAATCTAAAAAAAATAAAAAAATAACTTTTTGGTAAAACACCAATCAGTCATAACAATATTAACACCTAATACGGAGTACGTTCTTTGTTTGCCCAGAAAAAAAACAGTTCTAATGTTTTAAGTCATGGACAAGGAAACGCTAGATTTGAATGACTGATCTTGGACTGGAATGTTAGCAATAAAGCTTTAATTTATTGGGTGCTTTTCAAAGATGTCATTGGATCCTATCAGATATTTAGTACTCCTCAGACTTTTTATTTTGTTTGTTGAGTGATTCCAAATCAAGTTCTGCAGGATATCTTGTGCTGTTATCAGGGAACCTATGAGGCTAGGGAAGTGCTGTTGCCATGCTACGAGAGTACCATGGTCACAAATATGCATCGATGGGTAAAAAAGTGTTGAAAGTGTTTAAATGCACATAATGATGAGTATGTATCTCACTTTAGTTGTCAGTCATAATGTCATGGCTGATCCATGGGAAGCTTTATAAAGAACAGAGGTTTTTTTTGTTGTTGTTCTTTTTTAAACACCCTGTCCGCCTGGTGGTGTCTTCAGTTCAACCACACACAAAGACAAACACTCTCTAACCTTTAACCTCAGTAGTTACTGAGATGAAGAGTTGTTGTCATAACTACAACAAGTCCTGCTTAAAATATTCTTATCTTTCTTGAATTTTTGCTTTATAGTCTCCAACCATGCCAACCTCAACAAACTGCAAACTTCATTCTACTATAAAATGTTCTTCTGTAGGATTTCCAGTTTGTCTCCTGCAGCTTTCGTGCTTCAAATGGTGAAAACAAGCACACACCTGTGGACCATTCTGCTAATGAACTGCAGGAGAATAAATGGCAGAAGATGACATCTATCCGACACTGGTGCATTATCTGCCTACGGGTAGTTTGTGTTCCTGGTCTTATAATTGCTCCTTGTGCTTTGTGAAAACTAACCTCTATCTCCTGCTTGTTATAGCACTGACTCCTGTGTACCTCCTGAGCCTTGGACCTCACTTGTTCCTTCTAAGCCTCCTTGTGATCTCTACATCCTTCCCTTACCTTCTACCACTTGCCCACAAGTTGTGTGAACCTCTCTTGGACTTTCTCGTTTCTTGCTACTGAAACCATTTGGACCTTTGCCTCTGTGACAACCTTGGACTCCAACAGTAAGACACTAATTGGACATCACATTATCATCAAGCATCTAAAGCCTCCTACTAACTCGGTTCCTTGTCTCCAGGGTTCCAGTCCCCTCCTGATGGCTGAAATTGAAAATAAACACTGTTGAACTTCCTCTGGTATTGGGGTTTCTCATTTTGGTCACTAGCTAGGGCATGGAGCTAAACCTTACATTTTTCTTTTCATGAATACAACCAAGAGCTCTAGTCAGTGCTTCAATTCGTAACATATTTCTCATAAAAGTGAAAATATAATGACAAAAACATTACCAAACTTGTTTTAAAAGTTATCCTTTCCTCCTGGAAAGAATGCCATTTTTCTTTCACATCATGCATCTAATGCAAATAAAGCACTGCTATATGCTCTGATGATGACAATTATTCACCAACACTACTTTCTTAATTCATGCCATGAAGGTTAAAACTTTAGGTTAACGTTTAGCCTCACCCAGTATGATGAAAGTTATTGCAATTCTGTAATTTCACATCATCCCAAAAGCGTAAAAGTCACAAGTAAAGACTAGATGGTTGAAAGACATTTCCCTTCTTATCTATGTGAAAGCACATCCTTCTTTTAGATTAATAATGAAGCCCAGCGCATCAGATATTCAGTTCCATTTTCAGCCTGTCTTTTAGATCGTCACAATCAAGCAACAGTGAGCACAAACTGCCATTATCATTGGGTGAAGATGCTCTTGTGATGGGTAAGGTGACCAAGTCTGTCACTCAAGCTTAAACTGGACATCATCCCAGCAAAGTTTCAAAGTGCCAGCATAAAATCAGATGCTCATACAGTGAATGAGGATTCTGTAGTGTTTGCTGCTCTTGTGTATAAATGAGTGAGAGCAGATTACCTGACGTCGGTGACTTGCTTCTCTCCATGTCAATGGACTGCTGGTTGTCAGTGAGTTCAGTAAGGCCTGAGCCAGCCAATGGCAGCCAAAAAAAAAAAAAAAAAAAAGTATAAGAGATGTAAACTTTCTATTAGATCATTTGAACAGTGGGCACAGAAATCAACATGGTCAGCCACACAAAGCCCAAAGATAAATTGTTGATCTGATAAGTTGTTCCAGTTTGTTATTAAATGTAAAGGTAGAATGTACAGAAATCAAGGTCTTTAAAAATAGTTGGCCATTTATCCTTCGTCAGCTAATGTTTCTCAGGATTAGTTTTGTCCTTTGGGTGCAGGGTGGCTGATTGTCACTGTGTTCTGCACTACAATCTGATTCAAACTATGGAACTAATTTGGGTTCCACCAGATTACATTAAGATGCAAATGTAATTATAATTTGGCATTTAAAGCATGTAGTGCAAATCACGCGATCAAGACACAAAACAAAAACACAAGTCCAATCAGGATCATCTCACATCTCATTACATGCAGCAAGCACAAGTCAAAATAAAGTCCTCTCCCAGCCACATATGCTGACATCACCCCATCTTGTTCATTTTCTTAGTCGAACTGTAAATGTGGAGTGTTTGAGCTGCATTCACTGTGAACTCATTAACAGCCTCACTGAGTTGCCACAGTTAAAACCTTTAACTAATTTAATCATTGTCCTCTCAGTCGTAAGTCCATCTTATTATAATTTTCTTTCTACAAATGACCGGGGATTTTGACAGACGCTCTGACGGAAACATTATTGAAATAATAAATCAAGAATCTCTTTGTAACCACAAACTAAAAGCTTACTTTGGAACTTTTTTCTGGACCCGGTGCATGAACTAGGCTCTATTCACCCCACTAGCTTTGATTTAGTTTAAATATACATCACATGAGTTATATAAAATTTATAACTTGCCCTTACTTAGCGAACTCAAGGCATGACTCTCCTTCTGCAAAGGACATACTGAAGACATGACTGGAATATGAAAAGTTCCATTTAAGGCTAAAGTGACAAGATGGTTATTCAAATATTCCAATCATTTCCTTGTTTTGCTGTTTTGCAGTAGGACCACATCAGTTTCTATGCCAATACTCTGCCTAAATCTGTAACCCACCCATCCCAATCCTTCTGCACACACACACCAATTCACCCCAGCCTTTACTTTATGAAGGCCCGACTTACTCTGATAGGATGTACGGATCCTTTTCTTTGAATCTGAATAAAGGTTAGACAGGCCACGCATGCAATGTTCTGTCAGGCAGGCCCACATGCCCACATCAGCAGCCACAGAGTCACCCAAAGGTGGGAGGAGGAGGAGGGAAAGAGGTAGGATGAAAAAGTGAAAGGATTAAGAGGAGGTTCAAAATTGGACAAGAGGGAAGGGAATGAGAAATAAGTAGCATTGTGTGTGAAAGGGTGAAGAGAGAAAGAAATGATGTCAAGAGGGAGAAGGCATATTTTTAGGAGGGAAGGCAGGAGAGGGTGAGGGGTTGGAGGGGAGAGAAAGAACACACAGGCTTAGAGGGGAAAATAAAGTGAGAGCAAGCAGCAACTGAGTTAGTATCAGGGGAAGACAGACAAGATACCGGATTCTCCGGCAAACCCCACAAATGCTGATGTGATTGATAGTTTGAAGAAAAAACCTGTTAGCAGGAATCAATACTGACAGAGCAACAACAAAAAAATCACTCTTTTGTTGCACCAATTGTTTCATGTCTAAACTTTAGTTGCAATATTATAATTTACACTGTGTCCAGGAAAACACAGTTGGAAATATAGATATAAAATAAATACATTTGACTGACATTTTGTACGTGAACACTGCGTGCACATGTTCAGGCAAACTGAATTCAATTGTTGACCATTACAACGTTATTAATAAACACAAAAATTCTAAGAAAATGAAAGTTTATTTTTTTTTTATGTTTACCTGATTTTTAACAGTATGTGTGAAAAATGGTAAAAATGAAATGTGAATTGAAAATAACTTTGGTAAGTGACCAATTTCATCTAATTTTTAGGTCCTTTTTTGGTGGTAAACAGAAAAGTACTTGGAACATACTGGGATGGGATGTGAACATTACTGCTTCTTTCTCTATTAATACAATTGAAAAAATAAATGGGAAGAAAAGAAAACATCTTCAAGAAAAGCATCATCATTTGCAGTTAAAATTTCTGCCCAAATTTACCCCTAAGAAAATCCAGCTTGCTGTAATAACATAAATAATAGTTACCCAGCCTGCAGCAGCCTTACTTAAAGTGCTGCCTCCAGGACGGTTGCACATCTACAATATGGTTGCACTTATTTTGGCACAATATGCCAATAATAATAATTAAAAAAATAACAAAAGTGCCTCTTGTTGTTGTCAAGGGTTATTTTTATTTTTTTTTTTCAAATGTGCTGTTTGCAACTGCATCTTCTCCTATTCTCAGCTGTTTTGTAATTTTGCTCACCATTTCTTAGAGTTACTAACTGTGAGATTGTAATGCTCAGATAAAACTGCTGCACTCCTCTTTAGAAGATTTAACTTTTTTCTTTTCTTTCACTGACCATTTTTGCTATAACAGTTCAAAGGTAAAAAAAAAAAAAAAAGCTGCTTTGTGATTGCACCCTAAAGCAAAATATTTATTTTTCTTCTAACATGAAATACACAGATATATAAATCAATCTTAATCCTGAGATAATAACCCATTAGAAGTGTGTGGTGATGGATCTTTTTGCAAAAAAAACTAAATCAATGTCATCCAATTGAATTCTTGTATTTTCTCTCATGTTGGTGTTTTGGAGATGGCACCATGCACGATGAACTGAAAGGCAGAAATTAGTTAACATTTCTGCCATTCTTTTTCTTTTTTAATTTTACACAAAGGAAGAAAGATCAAGCCAGAAGTTTGTGTTTGCAACAAAAACTAACTACCTGTAAAATGTTTACACCAAGTTAGGCCACACCTTTCTTGATTAAATTGGTTATGTGTCCTGAAATAATTATATGATTTGGGTTTGTAGAAGTAAAGAATTGTAAAAATCCGTATTTGCCTAAACAATTGTGCACACATTGCAGTTCACAAATACATACCGTGTGCATGTGGTGACAACAGCTAAAAATGTGTCTGGACAGACAAAACACAACTTTCATAGAGACAGCTTAGCAAGCACGCTATAATTTGATGTATTCAACATTTTCAAAGTATTCAATTTGAATTAGCTTAAATAAGAAATTGTTCTGGATCAAATAGCACCAACTGTAAAACACATAACCAAATTTGTGTTTCTCTTTTTCCAATTTCATTCTAAACACTAAACATAAAGTCATTTGCAGGAGTCATTAACAGCCGAGACAGCACTAAGAGCTTTTTTTTAAATTATTTTTTTTAACTAAGGTTAGTTTATAGTCAAATAAATATTTTGCTTGTATTATAAAAATAAATAAATAAATGTTTACTGTGGGTGATGGGGTTGAATACCACTATGGCACATTAAGTATAAATCTGTTTCTTCAGTGGCCACTGCCAGCCAAGAGAGAAAGGAGACAAAAGGGAGGTGGGGGACAGGAAATACAAAAAAGACCTCTGTGGCTTCAGACTCCAGATAAGTGCTCAAGCAAAAGGGAAACTGAGCAAACAGAGAAACCAGATGACAACATGCATATAAATGCCAATGTTAGATGACCCACAACTTGTTAACATGCACCTCATAACATATTGCAAATATTTCTGTTCTGTGATTTTGTGTGACAGAAAAAGAAGAAAACAGAGTTTGACAGAAACAAGCTTTTGCATTTCACTATGAGTATATCCCACAAGTTCAAGAATTTTGTAATAAGGTCAAAAGAATGAATGCTATTATGTGTCACTATATATGATTTTATACAGGTATTGTCATAATGTGCCATGGAGTTTTAAAGTCTTCTGCAGCATATCTAATACTGAAAGCTCATCACATTGCATGCATGTAAAATGAATTACCAGTTTGTACATTAGCAAGACAGGGTTTAAATACAATTATCACTGTAAACTATTCTATGAATCAAAACGGAGCCCGTTTTTAACCTTGCAGTAGAGACGCATTTGAATTATTGTTAGATTATTAAAAACATGGCTTTCAATTTCCACCAATACCTACACACAGACATATTACCAGTTGCATTACACATAATAGAAAGAAAAATAAACTATCTACCAAATGAATGTCTAATTAGTCTCCAAAAATATATCAGAATAGTACAATTGATCGTTCTAACCTTTAAGATAGAAACACATGGAGAAAAGAATATAAAATTGGAGGAAGGACAGGACAGGAGTCTGAATGTGATAACTGAGTAACTGACACTTTGTTGTGTAGAGGTGTTAGGTGCAGTATGTGCACTTGTGTGCAGGTTCCTCGAGGTGTTGGTGTGTGTGCTACCTGAGGTGGACTGTCTGTTCCTACGAGGGGAACGAGTAAGGCGCTGGTAGGGGTCGGTGGCTCCGTACAAATCCAGTGTCGACATGCACAATATGATCGTTTTTTGCAAGTAGTCCACCACTGCTAGCCCATTGCAGTTCCCAAACGCCAAGCTGGACACAAACAGGATGCACAGATACAAAATGGTTTTCATACTGCAGCCAGGTTTAGCTTATTTCCACAAGGCTATTGCCACTGACATTAAAGGTGCAACACGAAGCACTATCAAAGACTGGGAAATTAACGCTGACATTTGGATGCAATTACTGACAACAAAAGCTTGTCTTTATCGCATGCTGCTTGTGCTGCTGTGATCTCAATATTAATGGCAGATTTCCAACAAAATCCATTGCCACCTGTAAACATCTGGAACCTCTGGTGTTACTGATCAAGAGAAATGGAAAAAAAAAAAAAAAAGGAGGAGGCAATGGAATTACCAGGTGGTTATGGCAGCTTTTACTTTCAGCACTAATGAAAACAATGACGTAAATATGTTATGTAACATATAAATGTCTATCATTTCTGTCTACATACAGTATCCATTCAGATGTATGGATTAGATTTTACTCTTCTTTTTCTGTTGGCTGTTCCCTTTTCAGGGGTCACCACAGGGAGTCACCCTTCTTCATCCCACTCTGTCTTTTATCATCACATCAACTGCCTATGCCCTCCCTAATTGCAACTACGAGATAATTAATGTAAAATTGGTAATAAAGTGTACAAAACAAACATATTAGTATGTATTGAATGTTATACGGTGGTTGTATAAGGCATGAAAACAATGCCAAACAATCCACTTTTTTTCTACTCAGTTTTAAAATGTGAAATCAAGCATTCACATGGAAACATCATCATCATTACCGATGTGCACAGCTTTGTTCACCTGACAAACATTTTCCAACACTGAAGTTATTCCTAACTGAAAGCTGCAGTGAAATATTAGGTTTCTTTAAACTGAAGGTCTTGTTTATTTCTTAAAGTGCAATTCTTTATGCAGCAAATGTTGACATTAGTTTTTTTTTTTTTTCAGACAAAATGCCTTAATCATAAAATTAGGAGACAACCTTGTATCTTCACTGCAACTTCAGTAATTGAAAAAAATATATAACATTAGATGGCGAATGAATATATGACTTTGCAATGTAATGATTCTTTTGACTATTTTATAAGAGTCAACCGTCTTTCAATAAATATGATGGATGCAGAAACTTTATTTTTATTAAATGAAAGGAAGAGACATTCTTCTTTTGTGTGTGCCTAAGTCAGTGAGTGCACATTAGTGAAAGAGCCAGCTAAAAACAAGAAAATAAATCAACTTTTTGCGGCTTTATTCAAACTGTGGCGAGATATAGATGAGGCACTTAAATGAAAAATTCAAACTGTGACCCTCAGGAGAGCTGTGATTTTATTAAATTCTGCCAATGAAGTTTACTATTCAAAGTAAAGTCATCAAGTAGCTTTAAAGCCAAGAAAACTAATAAAAGTGTCGTCATTTCTACAATAAACACAACACATGTGCATATTATTTTATTCAATTTTAGCCACAGTCACAGAAAATGTTTGGAAAACTATTACCTAATTAAAAAAATATAATAATTGAAATCATGAGCTCAGCCAATAACAACAAAACCAACTTTTCTCATGCAGGGTTAAAAGCATCTTAAGCTTTACGTGTCCTGTTATCCCCGATCTAGACTATAATGTGTGTAATGTCAAAGAGGTTGCTTCAAAAATAAAGCTTACAAAGTATTGCTCAGCTAACAGGGCCAGACTGTGGAAAAAAGTGCAACCATATGCTGTTCCAGGTAATGCTTACAGTATTTATTGACATGCAACCTTATACAACCTCCTATACCCCTAATGCATAAATCTCTGCTTACATGAATTAAAATACAGCCCAATGAAACAAACAGTCAAAGACAGATGGCCAGCACTATGAATACACAAAGCAGAATGAGCAGTTGTGAGTGATTGTGTTCTCTGGATTAAGCCATGGTTAAATTATGCATGCTCTCTGAAGTTTGATACCAACATCTAACTACTTTGTTGTAGCCAAAGAATAACAATTTAATTAGTGTTAATGATCTAAAATAAATAAAGTGATAAAACAATAAAGTAATCTAAATAAAGGTTGAATTAATTTATACAGCTAGAGGTAAACACAAGTTACCATCTTAGTGTACTACCAAATCCTTGCCTTATACCAGTCTGTTTTGTTGTTATTTTATTCATGTCTATATATTTGACAACAGTCAAATATATGGAAATAGCTAATACAGTTATTAACATGTTTGACTTCTGTAGATATTCTCATTTTGTAACAATAAATTAATGGTCACACGGACAAATACATAGACCATAAAAACAGGCAGAATGGATATGGAGACTTACAGGCCATATGCAGAATTGATATCTAGGCTGGTGATCTGTTGGGGTGGTTCTCCATCGACCCACAGCAGCTGGATGACCAGGTCTGACTGGTAGCCAGGAGGAACTCGGACCACTCGTTCTTTCACCCTTAAACACATTTAAAAGAAAAAAACTTGAAAGATTACATAACCGTACAGTGCATGAAGATGAAAGACACTGCACGATGTATGTATCGCTATGCACCAAAACATGGAGGCTTTCAGTTGTGTCACTGATCCCCTTGCATCTTAAAATGAAAAGTGAAAATGCATTACTAATAATAAAAAAAGAAAATGTTTCTAAATGCATGAAAATGTTCATTCAAGCTGCCTCATGATTGGTTCATATAATGAGAATAAATTGCATTCCCTGCAAAAATGCAGTGTAAATAATTATTGCTGAATGATTTTGCTGAACAAGCTTTGTTGAATTAGGCTGAAAGAAGCAGAAATGAGCATTAACAAGACAAAATTAGCTGAAAAAAGATGACATTAGCAAAAATAAATAAAATAAGCAGAAATAAACTGAAAGGAATAATAAAAGCTGAAGTTCACAGAAAAAAAGCTGAATGGAGTCTTGAAATTGGCCAAAAGTAGCTGAAGAAAGCTAAAATGAGCACAAAGAAGTTGAAAAAGTAGAACCAGAACACAATGTACAATGAGAAGTTAAAGGTTTTAAACAGACCAAAGGATTTGAAGGATATGAAGTGAGCTCAACTCATCTTCAGAGACTAAAATGGCAGAAAAAGTTGCACCAAAATCAAAAGTCATAGCAGGAATGTCCTGGATGAGCTGAACATTTTGATATATGAATTGTTGAAATAGCACAATTATTGTGCTAAAAGTGCCAAAAAGTGCACAGAAAAATTATAGTGGCAAAAATTGTATGGAAAAATGAAAGCAGCAAAACAGAAAAACAATAGTGTGAACACCTAATAAGCATCCACACAAATATACTGGCTTATGCTTTAATCTAAGAGTCTTAGGTTCAGGTCATTGGGTTCTACTTCTGTAGAAACTCAGGTTGCACACATGCAGTGGGTCCTTCAGGTGGTAATGTCTGTTTGAACAAGTTACTTCATAAAATATTTTCTCAACTGCTTCAAGACCCACAAAAATCTTGTAAAAAATGAAACATTTGTTGCTGTCTGCTGCAGGACATTTATAATGTGTTTGCTAGGATCTTACTTGAGGCAAGGGACACTGTCTTTGGCCCCCTCCGGCGTTCTGCTGCCCGGGCTGACTGGGTATTGATGGTGTGGTTGGGGTGAGTGCGAGCCTGACTCTGAGAAACAGGGATTGTTTTCATTTTCTGAAGGCGTGATGACATCCTCAGCATCACACTGCAGGCGTACTTCTAGCGCCTAAGGATGACACGGGAACAGAAATGAATGAATCTATACTGTAGCAGCTACAAAGGGGAAACCAAAGCAATGCTCAAGCAAATGCAGTCATCAGAAGGTGATCAGTTTGACTCATTTTACGTACCACTATCTGAGTGTTGGCATCATATTTACTGAAGCGATACAGGATGATGTGAGCGGAGATGCCGACTACACAGAAGATTCGACTCTGAGGGCACCAGCTGACCATTTGAACAGCAAAGGGATCTTCTTCTACCAATTCAGCAGCCCGACCCTCACCAGGCTTTGGCTTCTCAAAGACTTTGGAGGTTTTCAGCTTGTACAACATCTGCAGTGTGACTTTTGGAGCAAATTTAGAGAAAACAACATGCCAATCATATTCAAACATAAAGAAAAAGAAAGGTGAGTTTGATAAAATAACAGTTTTATGCATTTTTAATTCTAAACCCATTTTATCTGTGATACAACTATAGGTATTGTATCTAAATATAGTTGTGCAGCATATCATACTTGTATGACTGCTATTAATTTTCTTTGTGGCAGTTTCTTTGAGCCAAAGGCAGAATGGAATTGACTCATTGTGAACCTCAGAAGAAATGATTGTTCTTTGAACTGCTGCATGGGCAACAAAAACCTGAGATGAACAAAACACATTATTTCTGAATGGTTTAAGGAGTAAGAAACACTTTAGGAGAAGACTTACATGCAGATGCATCCCAAAATTTTATTGATCCATCAGCGTGTCTAAATGAAAAGGTAAAAAGCAGACAGAGCCATAAACTACAACATGTGCATCTTTAAACTTGGATACAGTGACACAAATTATGAACTAAACATATCAGCTATCATTAAAGTTTTTAAACCCATAATATAAATTATCTCTGCATGTGTTACCACATTGAAACAGTATGCTGTTTGAATCAGCAGTAGTCATATTATTTCTGTTATGAAAGCTGAAAATCATATTGAATGATTGCTTTATTCTGAGATGATGAAGTCTCTATGATCTGACATTTTAAGCCATTTACTCTGTGCAACACACAGAAAACATATCAGTATCAGAGGTTGATTGCCTGTCGGTGATTCTGTGAGTTTAACCTTAAAGAAGACACCCCCAGTGTGCAAATTTAACAAGTTAAGGTATTTGCCAGCAGCTTTGGCAAAAATGAATACAATGTATCTCAGACACCCTTACAAGTCTTAGAGAAACATGTATTTACATATAGATGCAATTCAGTATGGGTCACCAATCACAAGATCGTGCTTTTTAACATGTAGTTTTTAACTCCAGCATTTTTCTGATTTATTTGTCCTCCAACTCACCCTGTGATGATGATCTCTGGATAGGTGTGAGAGCCTAATGTCCATGTTCCTCCACCAATCGGCCACTCCTTATTCAAGAGAAGACATTTAAAAAAAATAAAAAATCAAAGTATCTATTTCATCTAGTCTCAATGTTCTATTCAAAAACTCACAGTTGCACATTTTAAATTGCCCCAAAGACATATATTTCCAACAGTAAAAACAAAAACAAGTTGATTGAAATAAAATGTGGGGAAAAGGAAACCCATCACTTTTCCTCAAGTTTGAGCAGCAGTTATGATGGGAGGCTTTAAATTTATTTATTGTCCATTTGTTTTTATTTATTTGAAATTCAATCCTTGTGCCTAAATGTGTTATCAAACAAGACTAAAAAGGTTGAAAGTCAAATATATCAGAATCAACAGTATCATATTCTCCCCATAATCCCCCTATTTTAACCTTATGACTGTAGCCAGTCTTCTTGTGTTTCGCTCCTATAGAGTAGAGAATAGGGATGATGTCTGGAGGACAATCTGCGAAATAAGCTGTGCAGGTAACGGGAGACTCATGGACGTCCATTGGGTAAGGGTTCTCAAACACGGGGAAACTGCAAGACACAAACATATTTTATGGCGTATGATTCATGGTTATAGTGAAACAACAGAAAAAGTCATTGGATTTAAACAGTGACAGCATCTTGCTTCAGCAGCTTCATCCGCAAAATGCATTTTGGTAAAACAATGTTAAAATGCTTGTATTCGCAACAAAATGTCTTTAAACTACATGAGTGTACTACATAATTTGTAATGAAAGCTTTACTCATTAAACAGCTGACTTGTTCAATCTGTGCTAAAACACAACTAACTGCTGATCAATGAGCTGAGAATGTGTAATACCTTCTTGGTATGTTACAACCACAGCTACCAAGAGACATTTGTATCTAATGAGCATAATTATAGAACCTAATTTACTAAGCCAGCTAATTTATACTTAGATGTTGTGGTACTATTCAAATGCACTCCCTAGGCTTGAGTGTTAATCTGTAAAAAATTATCATCAGCTTCCTTCATCTTCACAAAATTCATTGGAAACATGCTAACAGAGGTGATAACATTTTCAGCTTGAGAGCCAAGTCACCTGTTTGTTTAAATGAAAACATATGAGGTGAGGCCATATTCATGGCAATCTGTTTCTTTTTAAGACGTTTTCTTAAGCTTTAATATTATATGTTGTTGTTATCTATTATTATTATATATTATCTATTTTTGTTATCTTAAGCTTTATTGTTTTGTACATTACTTCGAATTTAAAAGCATTTTTTTTTACAGTAGTTTATCATTGTCTACTGTTTTGTTGTCTGTACTATTATGTTCCATCTAGAACAGGTCTCTCTTGTAAATGAGCCCCCGTGGCTCAATGAGGCTAACCTGTATAAATAAAGGTTAAATGAGGAAAAAAATAAAAAAATCTAGTTTATAAAGTAGCGGAAAACAACTTCATGAGAGATTTGAAAAACTGATAAATGGTTTCATAGGGAGCAGACTTTAAAGTCTTCTGGTTTATGATTAATATGCCAAGTTATGAACAGCATGCCTTCTTATTTGACTTTTTCTAATTCATACATTTTTTATTTTTTTTTTACATACAGTGTAAAATACATTTATTTTGAGTGTTGAATATTTATATTATTTGATATGGTTCAAATTTTTCAATTAGTTTTTTTTTTTTTTTCCCACCCAAATTTAAAAGTATTATCAAAAACATGAGTCATGAGAAAGAGCTATCTTGCTTTTCCCTACAAAGTTATAAAAAACAATTTACTTTAGGAAAAGACATGCGATGATGTTATTCTCTCAGAACGTGTCTACACAGAAACAGTTTCCCGAAAACCTTTATTTTTTTCATTTCTCCGTTTTCAAAAATATCTCTGCAAATATGTATTATTTTAGCACAGGAACACCAAAGTATACCTACAATGCTGTCGTAACAATGCCAGACCTGTACAAGGCACTGTAACAATGCCACAAAAAGCAGGACTAACACACTGGGAATAAATTGTAAACACTAGAAAAAGAGGAAGATGCCCTTGAGTTGTAGACTAAGAGGAAGAGCTATGACATCATTGTTTTCAAAAAGTTGCATTTTGGCTGTCTACACAAAAATGCAAGGGTGGCAATTCAAGATGTTATAATAAATAAATAAATAAATAAATACAAACTTTTCAGACTCCTCAAATACTGTTCCTGTGTGTATGCAAGAATAAAACAAAAACTAAACAAAACAAACAAAAAAAAAATAAATACATAAATTGTGTATTCACACAGAAAAAAACAAGAAAATAATCCAGTGTGGACAGCAGCTCTGTTTGTGTTCTCCCATTGTTCTATCCCATTTGCAACTGGTAAAAGATGTGACTATGTACAATATGCAAAACACGTACGTGCTCTGTGTCAGATCCACTACAATTAAGTCCTTCTCCAACAGCACTACCACAGCGTAGGGATCCTGGATCTCTGTAAAACAAGTTCAAATGAGAATAATGTACATCTAATCATATGATAACATTTTAATAAGTGAAGTTGTATGGCTATAGTAAAATCAAAATACTATAGAAACCTATAGAGTTTTGATCTAGAGAAGGTAGTGCACATTAAACAATGCCTGGTTAAATTTTGCTCAATTTTGATGTGCACCAAATCTTTCTGCATTTTACTCACCGTTATTATAAGGAGTCTCGCAGAGTGCCATAAACTCTACAATAGGATAGTCCATCTCCAGAACGGTCATAGCTTTGCCATGCATGATGGTCAACGCTGGCCGTCGCCCTGCCTTATCGTATGAAAGGCCACCAGAGAAGATAACAAAAGGCTCACTGCTGGAGATGAAGAACAGACAGAAGGGCTTTGCTTCACTTTGTGTCAATCCAAGCAGTGCAAACTGACAAAGCAAAGCAATTATTAGGAGGAATATTTAAAAGATGAAATAAACTGTTTGAAGAATAAAAAATGTTTTCATGGTTAATCACCTGCTTATAATTCTTTTGATAAAGAAAGTTTGTGTAAACTGAAGGAATGGATAAAATGATTGTGTGAAAATGAAATAAAAGCTTTTTTTTTTTTTTCCAAGGTTATCAGAATGTGGATAAGCAAACGGTTTATATAACTGAATGAATTCAGCTGGCTTTCATCTCAAAGCTGACATACTAATTAAAAAAAAGTAATGAATGACACAGAAAACATGTGCCATCAGGACACATTCATATGAAGTCAAGCTTTTGGAACTTGTTTGAAAGCACTCACCTGTTTCTTGAGGTTTTGTATTCAACTTTGAGAATGGGTTTACATGACTCCTTCCTCCCATCCTTCTGTATCTTTCCTGAGTTATAGAACATAGTTAAAAAAATAAAAAAATAAATCACATTTACTTAAAATGATATTTTTAAGTATAGCGATTGTATTTTGGTGAGTTTTCAAATTGTATTATTACCCCGGTCTAAGTGAATTCAAAGGGAAAGTTTCCAGTTTTCTTCAGTAGTACTTGATAAGCATA